AGAGCAAACCAAGACCACAGAACTTTACGTCTATCTAAGAGTACTGTTTGGCCACCTCTGACCACGAAGAAAGCCAAGAGGTGGTTGAGCCTGGGTGGGGGTGACAGTTACTGGGCTCTCTGGGTGATCCATCAGCTGCCACATAACCTCATGGGCATTCAGGAAGCCACAAGGAGCTGGCACCTCTTCAGCCCTCATCCTCCAGCACAGCCCCCGCCCCCCACTCACTTCCCAAGGCCATAACAGAGTAGAGTTAAAAAAAAGGGAAAGTCTATCTAGCAGAAGATTCTGGAACAAGTCCTAGATCCAGGATCATCTTGTACATTTGCTCCCATCTGGGGACAGCCCTTGGGAAGCAGGACCTGGGGAGGAGAATGGGGTGGGGTGGGCGCGCGATGACATTGAAGGATAGAGTTTTCCAGGACAGCAGGAAGACTCACACAATGGAGCACAAGGCAAGTAGGTTAGATGCGAAGTCTCTTTGCCAAATTGGGCCCAGGAAGTGGAAGAGAGGTCACTGTAGGGGCGAGGCATTATGGAAAGGGGCTAGAGCAACTCACAGCCCCCTTTCAGAAGTGTTCACATTAGTCACAGGGGGATGAACAGACGGAACCAGGTAAGGAGGGGCATCCTCCGGATTGGAGGGGTGTGGGTGTTGATAAGAACTCAGTACCTGCTGGCAGCTGCTCCTACTGGCTGCACCCCCAGTTGACGCAAAGCCTTCCTGTCCTCATGTGTCCCTTCCTCTCACACACACACCTCCTTCACATCCTCCAGTCTGTAGGAGCCAGGAACAATGAACTGCGAGAACCCGGGTCCTAATCTCACCAGCACAAGGATCAGCCCCAGAGACCACAGTAGCTACTGTCTTCAGCACCACTGGGAGGAATGTCACAGCCTCAGCCATGACCATCACCACGACCACCACCAGCATCACCGCCACCCTTACATCTCCAGCACCATCACCGCTACCATCATGACTATCTGTTGGTGTTATCAACCCTGCCACCACCATCATCATCTTCATCACCATCGTTACTATCAACTCCAGGATCATAATCACCATCACCACCATCGTTCCATCCCCATCATTTGCATCACCACCACCAGCAGCGTCGCCATCATCACCAGCCTCACCGTCCTCATTTCTCTCACTATCCTCATCAATGCCATCCCCATCCTCACCATTACTACAACTCTCACCTCACCAACATCATTGCCACTACCATCATGACATCAGCATCCCCATTACCATTGTCGTTACCCTTTCCATCACCATCATCATCACACTATCACACTCATCATCTCCGTCACCATCACCCCCAACCTCACCATTATTATCACCACCACCACCCTCATCACTAGTAAAATCTCCAGTTTTATGCCTTATAAATCACACTTTCACCGTTACCTTTGCCCCTATAGTGTTCCAGCCATCATGGTGACCACCATCATCCCAAGTCCCACAGGTTCCCCTAAGGCAAGCGAGTACTAATGATGGCAGGTGGGGAGATGACAGAGCCAGCTCCTCCTGGCTTCCTGAATGTCCACAAGGTTACCAGGCAGCTTATGGGTCACCCAGAGAGCCCAGTAACGGTCACTCCCAGTGTCGTGTCTCTTGTAACAGGTTGCTAAAATGGGTGGCAGAGGTACTGAGAGGCTAGATCAGCCAAGTCATGCAAGAAGAACCCGGATAGATCTCTCTAGAGGCCCAGCCAGCTTGGGGCTCCACAGGAAAGGGGTGCCTTGTGGTGGTAGCAGCAACTGAGGATGGTGTCAGTGCCCTTGGGAAAGACAGCCATCAGGGCCAGTCAATGTTGTCAGGAGAGTCAAGTTCCAGGCACAGCCCCTCCTGACCATTAGGATGCCAGCAGCATCCTCTAATCACCCGGAGTCTTGTTCCTCACTGTAGATAAGATCTGCCCCCGTGCCAGGCGGTGGTGGCGCACACCTTTAATCCCAGCACTCGGGAGGTAGAGTCAGGCGGATCTTTGTGAGTTCAAGGCCAGCCTGGTCTACAGAGCGAGATCCAGGAAAGGCGCAAAGCTACACAGAGAAACCCTGTCTCAACCCCCCCCCTCCCCCGTAGCATGAATCTTAAAGGTTCTTACTAATAAAATCAAACCTGAGCCAGGTATTGGGGTGAACACTGGAAGATCAGAGAGACAGAACAAGCCACAGCTATCTCACCTTGCCAGTTCCTCAGCTGGTCCTGTTTCCTCAGGTTGGAAGCCTCTGAGTCCTCATCCAGAATGAATCCCAGCTGAACTGTGCTGCTTCAAAGCCTGAAAGCTTAACCAGCCACATGCTTAACCAGCCAAATGCTTCTAGTTTCTGGTCCTCACGCCTTATGTACCTTTCTGCTTTCTACCATCACTCCCTAGGATTAAAGGCTCACTTTCTGGGATTAAAGGCATGAGTCACCATGCCTGGCTGTTTCCAATGTGGCCTTGAACTCACAGAGATCCCAGATGGACTTCTGCCTCTGGAATGCTAGGATTAAAGGCATGTGCTATCACTGCCTAACTAGTGGCTTTTCTGTTCTCTGACCCCAGATAAGTTTATTAAGGTACACAATATTTTGGGGAACACAATACCACCACATCCCCCCGCCCCCCAAAAAAAGATTTGCCCCTGCTTGCCAGGTGTCAGGAGCATAGCACTCCAGAGAGCAAAGGGGCCTGAAAGAGGTCCATGGAAAGGTCCCTGTCCCCACAAGAGTTCTGGGCCAAGGCAACACTCAGGACAGGACTCCCCTTGGAATGCACATGGAGCCTGCTGGAGTGGGCCCCGCTGGAGCAAGGCCCAGGGTGCTGATGGAGCAGAGCCTTCACTGGCCAGCTTCCTCTGCCAAGGCCGGAAGTAGACAGCAATTTCTGTGGTGAGTCACTCCAGGAGGAGGCGGGAGAATCCTGGGCAGCCATGAGTCCTGGGCATCTCTTAGCACAAATAGTCCTCCGGAGCTGGAGGGCCTGCAGAGGAGGAGGGCGCTGCCTCTGGACACACACTGCATCTTGACAGAGGCTCAACTCCACTGTTCTGAGTCTCTCCCTTCATGCAGAGGGCGTGAGGGGCTGGGGTACTCCTTGTTGCTTTGTGTTCTGTTGCTGGTGGTGCTGAGTGGGCAGGGTCAGGGACGTCAGGGAGCTGGCTAAGGATGCTTGGTCACTCCGTGAGGACAGTGGTAAAGTCTGAGCAGAGCTCAGCCCTCCGGACCCAGACCTGGCCCACATGTACAGGCTGCCTGCATAGGCAGGGTGCTGGAACCTCAGGGCCTTCTCCATTTGCGCCCATAGGCCCTCCAAGCTTCTTTTAATGTTTAATAGCCAGGGGTGGGGAGGAGACCACGGTCCCTCAACTCACAGGAAGCCCTCCAGGTCTGGAAGGCAGGGTCTCTGTGCAGACTGTGCAGTGTAGTGTGATAGTGACATTCCATATAACCTGCAGGAGGCGCTGTGATGAGGCTCAGAAGCCTTCCAGGGCAGACATGTGCACAGGTGCACACAGGTCACATTAGCCGTGGCATGGTCAAGGCTGGATTATGTTTTGTTGCCAAATCTCACCAAAGCATGGTAGGTGGTGTGTCGGTTTGTTTGTGTTTTGCTTTGTTGTTGCTTGTGGTCTGTAGCTAGGGTTTGTGCTGGCCTCTGCATGCCCTTCTCTGGGCATCTCTGGACATGCCAACTTCTCACTTGCCATCCACCCACCCATGTTTGTGCACCCAGAGGTGTGCGTGGTCATCACAATTACCTGAGCTCACTGCAGTCACTGTGCCGACAGTGCTAATCCTGCCTCTGCCTGCAAAAAAGGATGCTTGTGTGTGTGTGTGTGTGTGTGTGTGTGTGTGTGTGTGTGTGTGTGTGTGTGTGTGGTGTCAAGGACATGCCCACAGTGAGATTCATAGGAATGAAGATTCAGATGAGGGTATGAAAACAACCCATACCGGGCTGTCCTCCTTTTCCAGCTCTTGATATTTTAGGGTGCCAGGGGCTCCATATACCCCTCAGGGCCAGTGGTCTGTATCTGCATTCCAGCTCAAGTTGTGGTCTGAAGGAGAGGCCGGAAGGGTTCTGTCTGCAGAAGTTCAGGTTTGCGCAGTCCCAGAGTTGGGGAAAGGAGGGGCCTCTGGGCTTCCCAGCCAGACTCCTTGAGTGGCTTCGGCTGCCCCCTGCTGGAAGCTCTGAGAAATGCAATGCTGAAGCTGGGATGGCATCGGGAAGGCGGCTCTGGTGGTTCTAAAGCCTCTGGTGATCTGACCATGCTCACCTTTCCCTCCCACATGCACCCCATGGATGGGCAGGGTTGCCATGGCCTGGGAACAGGAAGTACTTAGTGATGGACAACGGGAGTCAGTACTTGGCTGTGCATAACAGTGGGGCAGGCCTCTCCAAGGTGGGCTCTGGAAGGCTGCAGGCAGAACCCTAGACTCCAGCTACACACACTTTATTTCCTCTCACCATTCCAAGTTTATTTATTTATTTATTTATTTATTTATTTATTTATTTATTTATTTATTTATTTATTTATTTATTTAATTTATTTGGTTTTTCGAGACAGGGTTTCTCTGTGCAGCTTTGCGCCTTTCCTGGAACTCACTTGGTAGCCCAGGCTGGCCTCGAACTCACAGAGATCTGCCTGCCTCTGCCTCCCGAGTGCTGGGATTAAAGG